ATGATTCACGGGATACATGATTCGCGGTGATGCACTTAAACTAAGACAAAAATGTTGGCCTCTCCTAATGTAGTAAGTTAATACTTTAGCAACGAAAATAGATAGGTTTAAAATTTATCATACAGAACGATATCATGTTTAATGTTACAATTTCGCTGGTTAACACATGACCTTTATATTGAGCGATATATTGACAACCCTACTGTTAATGTCAAAGTTACACTATGTAAACGTTCACACAGTAGAACAAGGAGTATCACTCTTTTCTTATCTACCCATACCTTCAAGAAAGCTGAAACCATCAGATCTGTCGCTATTTCAATGAATAACAAAGCACAGAAATATGTTATTTGTCGCTCCAGTGTAACTTTGTTCTTTTCTGTGTCGAATGAAAAGACCACCACAGGGAAGTAGAGTGGGTATATCAGTCAAGCTTTATTATCCCCCGCCGCGCGAAAGCGCGAAGCGGGGGATATAGTATTCACGACCGTCCGTACGTCCGTCCGTACGTCCCACCTGTTTGTTGCCGCGATATCTCAAGAACTAAACACTGGATTGTCTTCATATTTGGAACTATGGTGTATATACAGACTCCGCAGACACCAGTCGGTTTTGGTGACCTTGATCCCATTTTCAAGGTCACAGCAGACAAATCTGCTTTTAGAGTTGGAAAACGGTGTTGCCGCGATATCTCAAGAACTAATCACTGGATTGTCTTCATATTTGGAACTATGGTGTATATACAGACTCCGCAGACACCGGTCGGTTTTGGTGACCTTGATCCCATTTTCAAGGTCACAGCAGGCAAATCTGCCTTTGGAGTTGGAAAACGGTGTTGCCGCGATATCTCAAGAACTAAACACTGGATTGTCTTCATATTTGGAACTATGGTGTATATACAGACTCCGCAGACACCAGTCGGTTTTGGTGACCTTGATCCCATTTTCAAGGTCACAGCAGGCAAATCTGCTTTTAGAGTTGGAAAACGGTGTTGCCGCGATATCTCAAGAACTAAACCTCTCGATTGTCTTCATATTTGGAACTATGGTGTATATACAGACACCGCAGACACCAGTCGGTTTTGGTGACCTTGACCCCATTTTCAAGGTCACAGCAGGCAAATCTGCTTTTGGAGTTAGAAAACGGTGTTGCCGCGATATCTCAAGAACTAATCGCTGGATTGTCTTCATATTTGGAACTATAGTGTATATACAGACACCGCATACACCTGTCAGATTTGGTGACCTTGACCCCATTTTCAAGGTCACAGCAGGCAAATCTGTTTTTGGAGTTGGAAAACGGTGTTGCCACAATATCTCAAGAACTAATCGCTGGATTGTCTTCATATTTGGTACTATGGTGTATATGGCGGGGGATATTTCGTCACTCTGTGACAAATACTTGTTTCTAAATGAGACGGCCACAGGCCTAAAGTACATGTATACAAAATAGTTGAGGGTACATTTATACAAAAGAATAAACATCAATTATCAGGATAACTGTAAAATGACATAAAGTCGTTGAGTATGTGCATGCTTTCTACGATTCGTGTAATGGAAAATTAACATTGACAGATTTCTAATTGTGACAGTATGTGACAGCCTTCATAAGTCCGTGAAAAAATCATTATTAATGAATTGGATTCTAATGTCAACATAAAATGGACAAACAAGTAAAAAGTGAAATTCATCTTCCATATTATTAAAACTAAACAGTTGACAGATTCTGTCTACTCTTTGAATGATGCAGTGTCCACCTGATTCAATAAGGGGATCGTGAGAGCTGTATCTTAATCGGGCTAACGCCACCCGGAATATTTTTTTAATTTATTTCAAACAAATATTAATCTCTATTCAATTTTGTTTTGATATCAGAATAATGATTTAATTTATTGGACAGATGCATCTTAATCGGGCTAACGCCACCCGGAATATTTCTTAAATTTATTTCAAACAAGTAGTAGTCTCTATTCAATTTTGTTTTGATATCAGAATAATGATTTAATTTATTGGACAAATGTAGAGACTATACCTTGTTTGGAAGTACATGTCTTTTAAAGTTCGGATGAAGTCAACAATAAATCGCTGTGACATAGCTACATTTTGTTCAGTCCACATAAAATCATACCCATAATTAACTTCTTCAATGTTGATTTCGTTAAATACAATCCTGATAGTCTAAAGACCTTGAATGCAATTCCCTTTTAACCAATATCTGTAAGTAGTAGACACACAAGATCGCTTGTATCTGATTCTTTGTATTTTATTGGTTGGTGAACAATATCATTGATTTCCGAGCCATTACTCGTTTCTCCCCTGGGAAGGAAATAATCTCTCTTACCACGAGGCTAGGACAATGTTTTTGTCCGGGTTTGTAAACATCACATATTTACTGTTATGACAATTGAATATTATCATCTCGAATGAAATTAAACCAATTAATTTTTATGAACGGATACATATAGATAATCATTTTTTGAATAAACAAGCTTGCGTTCGAGTTGAGGCTGTGTGACTGGGACAAGCCGTCGTCAGCTGCTACTGCCTTATGGCACTGAAGTCATGCTAATCTCACTGGAAACCATTCTGTCACATACATACACTTACCGATGTCCACGGTAGCAATACTTACTACATCAATCGGGGCTAGTAAGAGGTACAGGTCTAGACAGATTGTATGGGTAGCGTCAAGTCGAGCATAGCATATACAAAGCAGTCGTGAAGACCGGGGAACCTGACGTATTATTCATACACGTACACAACGAAAAGGATTCTAATTACTAGAGGAGGCCTATAAATGAAAGTCGTGATGTCATTGTTGAACGAGCACTCAACGCGAAAGAAATCCCGAGTCGACTGAAAGTGTGGTAATTAAAATCGATTTGCTTTAATCGGATACAAACAATATATGCTCCCTAGGAGAGGTTTTGTTCTTTGTTTTATGTGAACCTGAAGCCAATCAGCTGCTCGAGTGCAAGGCAGCGGCAATACGTCTGAACCATGTCTGTACTCCACCAATAGACACCCATCTGAATGTCAATAAGTACAGTGGTTTCTTCACGCTTGAATTACATTGACTTGACCAAGTGCACTGCACATGAAAAACGTTTCATAACCATCTGGATTTCCAAAAGATCTTTGGGTGGGGGTTTCGCTTGTTACAAACAACATCGCGTTTTCCCCCTATCGTGGGGCGGCTGTGCCACGTCCCTTCCAAGAAAAACACGCAATAACACTGTTAATCCATCCTGATTTATTTATTGAATTGCATGCGGTAACTGAATGATACTAGATTCAAGGTAACGGAACTCTTATCCGGGTCGTCAATGATTGAATGGAGTCGGGTTTAACTGTCATCACTGTGAACACGATGGGGGGAGGCACACAGTACCTGGAGAACCTGCACTGGGAGAATCGTGAACGTTGAATCAGTTACAACATCAGATGTTTTGGGTTTTTTTTAGCCTCAAGCAAACAATACTTACTTTTTTATGCACATTGTATGAATGTCGGGTGCTTCCGATAGGGCAGGACAAGCTTACCCTTTTCGGGAACACCTGGGTTTTAGTGGTCCATCCATATAATTTCCACAGCTATTTGCACTTTACGCCAAGTGGAATCTGTTTCAGCCGAAAATATTGGATGGTTATTCTCTTGCATTGACAATTTATATTGAGATAAATGTATTCGATTCAATTGTGAATTGTGAGTGTACCAATCGCGCCATATCATAGGAATATGCTGCCATCATGTACAGCGTACAGAGCACATCGTACACATATGCAACTGTTGCTACCGACCTGAAAACGCAGTCAGATACAAGGTTTCTAGAGATGTCATAGTTTACAGGCTAGGACCTAGGGAGTGCGATGACGCGCGAGCTGTTAATCGCCGCCGCTGAAGCCAGCGTGGATGTCATCCTCCGGTAATCTCCTTGTGTTTGATGTGAATGGATGCAGGAGTGACCCTCGCCATGCTTCATTGTCTACAAACGGCAGCATTGCTTTATGATGTTTGTATTCATGCCCAATGTTGTGTACCTGACCAGGCGGGAGATGTACTTAGCCAAGATTTATCCCGAAATAAGCACGGCACACAGGCATTGGCAGCGTCGGAAAATGGTGAAATCGATTGAAATGAACATCACTTCCTCAATTGCCGATGGCGGGTAGCATTACTTTCTGTGAATGAATGTTTGCTCTGGGAATGAGATATAGCCATTGAACACTAACAATAAGCTATTTATCAATCTGGGATCTAATATCACGTGCAACGTTATGTACTCTTGTGTTCTTATATTGCCAGATGCGTCAGAAAATGTTGATTGTAAACTTGATATATGTGCTGTCAGCATTAATATATTCTTTTGAAATGGTTCATGCCATGCATATCTGCAACATACAACTGTGGGCAACCATATGTAATTGATTATCGAAAGAAACAGCAGAGGCCTAATTTATCATACCAGGCTGTTGTCAGGGAAGATGCTTGGGGTGAATCAAATCAAATAACAATTCAACTTTTCCCCAATGCGACATTATTTATTTCAGAAGTGAGGTATTGGTGGGCGATTTCTTCTTCAAAAACATTTCTTGAAATGTAAGGGTTTCTTATGGCATGGTATCTCTATCATTTGATCGTCTCGTAAACATACATAAATATGTACACCACATGTTGTTCAGCAACAAATAATCAAATTGTTGCTGAATTTGTTCGAATACTGGGATAATTTGTTATCCCGACCATCGTAGTTCCGAAATATCCATTTTTACACCATGGATTTCATTCTGTCCGGATGAATGGGTGGACATCAGGTGCCATCACTGATTTCACTCCATCATATAATGTTCACAGCTAGTTGCCCTCTACGCCAAAATGTGTTCTGTTTCGGGGTATTATCTTGACTGGTTTTTCTCTTGCATTGACAATTTATATTTCTTAACTAGTATGAAACATGTTTAATTAAAACATTACTTTGATAATCTACCATTACGTCATCAGGTCATTTGGAGGAAAGGCTCAGATCCGAACCCGCTCACCATAGGAAAGAGGACATTTGTAGACGACAAGAGAGTTATCATAGAACACACGCCTCTTCATCGGAACTGGAACTTATTGATCAAGCGAATTCAGCTGGATGACGAAGGCATGTACGAGTGCCAGGTTAGCTCCAAAGCGAGACACTTGAGGCACCACGTGTATCTAACAGTATTACGTGAGTGGTTTTTAACCGTTATTTCATTATTAGCCCTTTAACATCTCTGGAACAAACCGTTTGCTGATTTTTGTATTTCGAAGGAGTATATTGTCAAAGTACATTCATCTCTTTGAAGTTTGAAATAAAACATTTGGGGTTCTGCATTGTAACTATTCTTGGCATTTGTAGTCATTGAAAGAAATATGGTACAAAGTTGGGGAACTTAAGGTGTTATAGATTGAGATATAGGAACAGTATTTGGATTCATTACCTTGTGTATCGAGTGTTCTTTGTAAACCACTTGAAGAGCAGTCTCTAAGTTTATTGTGCCTCTTCATCCTCTCTGATAAGAACAACTCAAAGCAATAAATAGTCTCGATGTCTAGATAGAACGCCTCTGACGTGCAGCTTCATCTGCAGATGAAGTAATTATAATTACTGGGGCGTCAGCGGATCCAAGATTTTCTTACATTTTTCTCAGTTAATGTCCCTTGTAATAAACTCTGATAATATCTTTCTGTTTTTTACAGCAAGTGAAACTCCGATCAAACACAAACCAGGTAGGTGCATATTTCGCATTGTCGGCAGAAACCACGACCAAACGCACTTTCGACGGAAAGAATGCTCGATGATTGCTTTCACTTTTCATCTTGCATCCAACAAACGTTAATACAAGCGAACAAATTGACCATAGTAGAATTCATATTTGCCTCAAATCATCCACTGACTTGGATATGCCTATATGTATGACGAATAATCAGTGTGTACAAAAGGATGCAGATTCTGTTTTGCAATCCATTGATAAAGGGGGGCAAAATTCTATGCTAAAAAACAGAACTCTATCCGAAGCATCTATCACTACAGTGATGATACCAGGTGTCCAATGAGCGGTACCCTCACAGTTGCAAAGGCATGTCCATTCGTCACCTGAAAAAACACGGGAACAGATGGTACAATTCAAAATAGGCAATTGCATAATGCGTCATTTTGGTCACTGATTCGTCAAATTTGGAAATGTCCTCAACATATCTATCATACAACTTTTTGAAAGCTTACTAAAGTCTTGAATGTTATAACCCTGATTAAAAACTTCATCATACTGATATATACTTACAGAAATAGTTTTCAGTTGTATCCCCCTTTCATACATTCATTTTTTTTTAAGATCTTTAAATCTCGAATCAACATAGAAATTTATGTTTTCCAGATATATTTGGCAAAATATAGCATAACTCTTGAACAGTTTTTATGTAGTTTGCTAAATTATTGATTTAACCCGGGAGACGTAGGATCGACCTGGAGAAATGATGATTTGTGAACAATGAACAATGAAGGAGGAACTCCACTTCATAATAGTTTGTGATATAGAGGCCTGACTATTTATGACGAAACTGTAGAAAACGGAAATTTGGTGTATGCCTCCCAAAGACACATTGACATCCATTACCCCATCTCAATCGCTGTACACAAAATTTGTCATGTTACCATTCCATGTTAACAACCACGTGCTGTAATACTTAAATTCTTCCTTCATTTACTGCATTTTATGATGTGATAACTTGCCACAAGGAGAAACCTGAATTTGAAACGAGCTGACGGGATCAATTGGTTATCTATTCTGTCTGTGTGAATCAATAACCTGTTTCCGTTTGAAACAGAAAGATAACTGTGTTTGCTCTAAAGGTACACTTCACATCTGGTTGACGTCACAAACAATACTTCATATGCCATTTCCACAATGCAACAGTATTGCGCTGTATTACTTCAACTAACCAACCAGCCTGGATCATGGCGGAATATACATGTTCACTTTCGCAAAGCTCGGACACTCAACAGTTCAATCCTTAAAAGTAAAAATAACAATAAAATAGTTTTTATTTGAGGATGTACGAACACCTGCACCACGCTAGAGTCATTATCGCAATCATATTTAATTTCAGATGACGTTCCCAAAACACACAATGGCTCTGGTTTGATATATGGTAATCTATGTGTTCATTGTAGACCTCCCCTTCATCTCTGACTGCCTTGGGTTTGACGCCCTCTCACGGCTTCTTGTCTTTTGTTTGCATTTTTACGTATATACCACGCTCGTTGAAAGAGTAAAATAGCTCATACCTTTGATATTTCAAAAGGGCTATTGGAGACGTATATTATACACTGCATGATTGCTTCTATACCCAAAATAAAGAAAATCGTTCATTTTTTGTTTGCAATTCTCGATAGATTAGATTCTAACTATTTATTTTTTTCTCAAACTTTGCGAATATCTGTTTTTTTATAATTTAACTGTAATCGTTATTTGCTCCGGTTACGTTGATTTTTGTCTGAAGTTGGAACCATTATTGTTGTTCTCCATCGTGAAACAGATATAAACACGGTGACCTTTACTGTATGTGTCAGCAAGTATCTCCATTGTCAGGCGTCATCTGTCACTGGCTTACATCTCCCTCAGCTGGGATTCAGAAAATCAGAATCAGATTTAAAAATATGAAACTTACATCTTTGCGGAATGTTTCATAGTCATATATAGTCTGTTCCAAATCGAGTGAATCGTAATTTACCTGTGATGTAATAATCTACATGTCCAGTTCAGTTTTCCCAAGGTACACATGCATAGTGTTGTGAAATATCTTAACAACGTTTACACTGTAGGAATTGTACTACAGGTGTAAAACTACTGTATAGAATAGCAGAGGAAGCTACTAACTCAAGCATGAAACGTGTATGCAAGCATATCTGGTTTAACAGTTCTGCCCAAACTAATGTGCCAAGGAATAACCAATACGTAAGAGGACATAGTTCAAATCAATCATTCACAATAAGACGTGATATGTACTGGCATATGCATTCTTCATCGATATTGGTATTGTTGTGTTTTAGACATCCGAATCAGCGGGGAGAAGTATGTTGAGAAAGGCCAGATGATAAACCTCACGTGCAACGCCACTGGAGAAGAGCATCCCCCCGATGACCTCGACTGGTTCAAAAACGGGGATAAACTTTCTTCTAGCATCACGGATCAGATTGCTATACAGAAACGTGTGTCCCTCACAACACGGACAATTGTGAGCATTCTGCAAATCAGCAATGCGGGTATGAACGATGCTGGAGTATATATATGTCGGACCTCGGACCTACAAATCACCAGCGCTAGAGTTAATGTATTAAATGGTATGTTGACGTGTTGTTACACATAAGATTACCAGGAACTAGTCTGGGGTGGTTCCAGTGTTAGCATTAAATATTACAGTGCAAATAGTACATTTTGTGAATCGAACCATGTTCTAAGTCTTGTTTAACTGGGGATATGTTACTTGAGTGATCTAGGCCAGGAAACAGATGTCAACAGACGAGTATTGTTCCTCTCGAAATAATGATTCTAACAAGGAATGCTATTTATCCCGGGCCTTGTCGTCATACTATGCATTGTACATACAGGATGAATACTTTAGACCCGTGAAGATCCGGGGTAGAATAGGTATTGAGCAGCCTATGCTTGCAATAAAAGGCGACTATGCTTGTCGAAAGAGGCGACAAACGGGATCGGGTGGTCAGGCTCGCTCATTTGGTAGATGCATGTCATCGTATTCCAATTACGTGGATAGATGCTCATGATGTCAATGACTGGATTGTCTGGTCCAGACTCGATTACAGACTCACGTTATATAGCTGGAATATTGCTGAGTGTGGCGTTAAACAACAAACAAACAAAACAAAACATGTCACTTTGTTATGGATAGCACCTTCTTTTATTCTTTGTACGACGCTTAAGCAGTCACCTGATGAAAGGGCAAGAAGTAGCTCTGAAACGGTATACAAAGATAATAGAAGCTGCCATCCATAAAAAAACTCTCCTGTATTCAAGTTCTCTCAACTTCTAAATGTCTATCAAAGACTACATGCAGGAGCTGACCAGTTTGTTTTTATAATTAATGGTGGTTATGTTATATTTTTTTTATAATATAACCACCAGAAACACGCTGACAAGAAAACAAAGTTTTGTATGGTCATGTCTTAGTCCACAGGATCATATCCTTATGATTGTATGTCTGTGATGCCTAACGGTGGGCATGAAATGTTAATCGTTTCACAAAATTTACAATTCCTCATTTCATTTCAGCTCACACGTACAATGTGAAAAGACGTAAGTTGATTTTTTTTTTAAATACAGCAGGCAGTGCTTTAAATGTGACATACTGAGTATCATGCTCAAGCGATGTAGCGTTTCGTGAAAAAGGATTTTAGTTCCTATTTTTAACGCACGAGGTTGTATTAGTAATGCTTGTAACGTGGGTATACGTGTTGTTAACGATTTAATGGTTACTAGCATTGGAAACATCGATTATGTTGTTACTATACAAGGAGAGAAAATGAGTAATTGTTACCGTACATTTTCACAGAAATTGAGTGGCTGTTACCGTACATATAAACAGACATTAAGTGGTTGTTACCGTGCATATACACAAAATTTGTGTAACCGTACATATACACAGACATTGAGTGGTTGTTACCGTACATATACACGGATATTGATAGGTTGTTACCGTACTTATACACCGAAGTTGTGTGGTTGTTACCGTAGATATACACAGAAGTTGAGTTGTTGTTATCGTACATATACAAAGAAATTGAGTTGTTGTTAACATACATATACACAGAAGTTGGGTGGTTGTTTCCGTACATATACACAGACATTGACTTTCAAGAAAAACTATTTGTTGTTTTACAGATGAAAAGGACAAGAACAAGGCGACGTCAGCCGCCTCTGGTGGTTCCCAACTTGACAATGGGGCGCGACCTAACACTGCCCACTCTGTAAGCGTTGTGTTAACAAGTGCAATTTTCATGTTTCTCAACAATGTCACGTGAACATTCACTCCAACTATAAACCAATGGTTGTATATCTTCGTCATACTTTCATGAACACTCAGCATTGCTCACACGCAACGGAGACGGATTGGTCGATGTTCCCATGTTCAGACAACACTGTTATAACGACTGTTGTGATTGACAGTGAGATTGACGAACAAAGCTTAACTCAGGGGAAATGTGATGATGATCAAGAATTACATCTTGATTTGTTGATTTCGTCAACATTGACGTATTCACATGCGGGACATGTACTGTCGGGACAGATAATTCAAGGACATTTAAGCTGGGATATAATGACACTCTCCCGACTTTTATAAGCACGATTTGTTTCTAAAGTGCAATCAATGTATATTTTAGATAAGAAACAAATATCTGATATTTTTAACGACTGATTATCCCATCGGTAGAACTAAACAAAACAGGAGGTTGGTTTCTGGTTCTTGAGCTTTCATGTTAAATGTGCTGACTTGACGCCCCTGTCCTCGTGAACATATGGCATGCCATACACCAGGAACACTGACACACCGTGTGTTACAGACTGCACATCAGCATATCATCAGATGCATGTCCAACTCACACAGCGGCACAGGACCAGGATTATAGTGCACATGATGTTTGGATCGAAAATGCAGGAATTCAACACGAACGGAAAAGAATCAGCTGTTATCATAACGGTTAACAATCAAACCTCCGGTACGTGTCATGTTTTAGGTGAACCTCATATCATGTCATTTGAGTATATGTGATAAACCATCAAGCCAGTGAAGACAAGCCACCGCGATGAACAAACCACCAACGATGACAAGCCACGGAAGTACCCGTGGAGGGAGAACAGTGTATTTCCCGGAGCAGCCTTTGTGGTGGCGCTTACACGACATCCACAGACGTATGTGTACATATTATTGAAGGGTGGGCCTGCCCATCATTGTCAGAAAGAGATGTACATATGATTACTGCTTATTTATGACCGACGATGTCTCATCCACGAAGGTTCTGATGTATGTATATACTAGTAAGTAAACGGGATGTCGAGATGCATAATCATATTTCAGACACCTTTTTAACAAATTAGGTCTATCTCATTTTACACAGTGTGAAATCCCACTATTTATGTAAGTTTGTATATACATGTATATCACGCATATACTGTCAGATGTTGTCTTTACGTAACACGTGCAAGATTGTGAAAAGGTCATGTTTTTATAATCTATCCAACCGTTCCATAGTTTACTTTCTGATTAATTGTACCTGACTTTGCTGAACCTAACTTCATGATTCCTAATCACTTTCATCTGTCATATCCAGGTGAAAATGTGAAGACCCTTGGTCTGCGCAGTCCGTGTTTCGAGCATTTCGTTACAGATAAGGGTACATTTCGATCGTGGTATGTGTGGAAATGTAGGTCTTAAATTGTACATGTTGGACTTGAAGGGTGTGTTATGTACAATAGAGCTGTCCTAGAAGTACGACCAAGTCAGGTGTCCTGCGTGAAAAATTGAGAAATGATAAGATATGACATTCACATTACAGCGATCGTGGTGAGAGGTACGGTAAACATGATCAATTAAACGACGACTCCTGACTGTTATTAAACAGGTTTAACTCCGTTCATTTAGCATCTTGTGATGTATCTGCTTATAAGGTTGCCGATACTGTTAATTACAGTGTCACACAAGACGTCATCATTTCCGATATACCACTACAGGATCAGATAGAGACATCTCGTGCACGCTGCTCAGTTCTCAGTTCCGTCGCTGCATTGTTGTCAAATTACAGTCAACTTTAAGTATAACTCAAAACTTTACCCTGCTTCGTTTTAACTTATAATCTATAGCCACGCTTTGGAAAGTGGCGCATTCATAGAAGTATTTTCTTTACCCGTCTTGATAATATCAGGATGTGAAAGAACCGAATATTCAGACTGCTGTCACTTTCTGACACTTCTGAAAGAAGCTCACGTTAGACATCACACAAACCAGGCTGCACCTGGACTAGAATGGAGTCATTATATGTATATACATATTTATATTATGTTGATATTTAATAAATATTAGAAATAAAAAAATGAGCATCTACGTGTTTATCTTGCTTTGTTGTATATCAAATGGAACACAATGTTTTGCAATTTCCTTTAATATAACAACTGGAACACAATGTGTTGTAATGTCCTGTAATATAACTACTTCAACACAATGTGTTGTAATGTCCTGTAATATAACTTCTTCAACACAATGTGTCGTAATGCCCTGTAAAACAACTACTGAACACAATGTGTTGTTGTGCCCTGTAATATTACTACTTCAACACAATGAGTTGTAATTTCTTGTACTATAACTACTGGAACACAATGTGTCGTGATGCCCTGAAATACAACTACTGAAACACAATGTGTTGTAGTGCCCTGTAATATAACTACTTCAACACAATATGTTGTAATGTCCTGTAATACATCTACTGAAACACAATGTGTTGTAGTGCCCTGTAATATAACTACTTCAACACAATATGTTGTAATGTCCTGTAATACATCTACTGAAACACAATGTATTGTAATGCCCTGTAAAACTCCTACATCGCTTTGTTACATTGAAACTTCCCAGATGACACGAAATCTTCGTCCTCTACCTCGCTGTATATACTTAAAGATCAATCGATCCTGAATGAATATTCCATTCTTGTTATATGTTTATTATAACGTTAAAACAATTCACAGGAATTCAACATCATAGAACAACTTTTCACATTCTGTATTCCTCGTTGCCAAGGTAGTGATGCGGCACTGGATTGTCTTCAGAAGCGTTTCAGAGAACTCCTTTTTCTTCCCCCATTAATGCATATCCCTGACAATAGATGGAATGTGCCCCTCATCGCCCCCTCGCCCCTGCCCCCAGTATTATCTCAGCAGCTGGCTACACCTGTGTTGCATCACTCTATCCTGACAGTAAAAACACACTAGGGAAATGCTGCCTGTTTCGATTTATTTTACTTGTAGGATACGGAATGAGTCAAGGGTCCATCTTATCGCTTTACACTCGCTCGTATACCTAGCTGTCGCTGTAACGCTTCAACACCCTTCTTTACCGTACAAGCTGTAAAAACGTCAATAGATTTGCTGTTGATAAGTATTCGTGTTTATCTTCATCAAGCCATTGCGGGCGTGCGTGGGTGGGTGACTTCAAAGGAACTTCAAGAAACGCAAGTGTGTTGGAATCATTTCCATTGGCGTCGTGGAAATGGTAGGTTTGTATGGTACGATTACTGAAGTAAACACGTTGGTGTATGATCAGTGTAAACATATATCAGTAGCAAGAAAAAGGATTGTGCACCTGTTATTGTTCTAATAAAGAAGTAAAGAGAGTTTAAAGTTTACCAAAACGCGACAAACTAAAAGAAGCCTTTGAGCTATATTCGAGAACAGATAAAGTTATACATCACCAAAATACTGTTGATAGTCAAATAGGACCTTGGAATGTGGTTATGTTGGAGAGATCCGATACAACGTAAGCACTGTGAAACGAGTGAGGAATGATGTAGACAGTCAAATACTTGGTGATGATGTACACAAACAAATACTTGGTGATGGTGTAGACAGTCAAATACATGGTGATGGTGTAGACAGTCCAATACTTGGTGATGGTGTAGACAGTCCAATACTTGGTGATGGTGTAGACAGTCAAATACTTGGTGATGGTGTAGACAGTCCAATACTTGGTGATGGTGTAGACAGTCCAATACTTGGTGATGGTGTAGACAGTCAAATACTTGGTGATGGTGTAGACAGTCCAATACTTGGTGATGGTGTAGACAGTCAAATTCATTAGAATGGTGTAGACTGTCCAATACTTGGTGATGGTGTACACAAACAAATACTTAGTGATGGTGTAGACAGTCAAATACTTGGTGATGGTGTAGGCAGTTAAATGCATGATAATTGTGTAGACAGTCCAATACTTGGTGATGGTGTAGACAGTCAAATACTTGGTGATGGTGTAGACAGTCCAATACTTGGTGATGGTGTAGTCAGTCAAATACTTGGTGATGGTGTAGACAGTCAAATTCGTGATAATATTGTAGACAGTCCAATACTTGGTGATGGTGTACACAAACAAATATTTGGTGATGGTGTAGACAGTCAAATACTTGGTGATGGTGTAGACAGTCCAATACTTGGTGATGGTGTAGACAGTCCGATACTTGGTGATGGTGTAGACAGTCAAATACTTGGTGATGGTGTAGACAGTCCAATACTTGGTGATGGTGTAGACAGTCCAATACTTGGTGATGGTGTAGACAGTCCAATACTTGGTGATGGTGTAGACAGTCCAATACTTGGTGATGGTGTAGACAGTCAAATTCATGATAATGGTGTAGACAGTCCAATACTTGGTGATGGTGTACACAAACAAATACTTAGTGATGGTGTAGACAGTCAAATACTTGGTGATGGTGTAGTTGGTCAAATTCATGATAATAGTGTAGACAGTCCGATACTTGGTGATGGTGTACACAAACAAATACTTGGTGATGGTGTAGACAGTCAAATACTTGGTGATGGTGTAGACAGTCAAATACTTGGTGATAGTGTAGGCAGTTAAATGCATGATAATTGTGTAGACAGTCCAATACTTGGTGATGGTGTAGACAGTCCAATACTGGGTGATGGTGTAGACAGTCAAATACTTGGTGATGGTGTAGACAGTCAAATTCGTGATAATGGTGTAGACAGTCCAATACTTGGTGATGGTGTACACAAACAAATATTTGGTGATGGTGTAGACAGTCAAATACTTGGTGATGGTGTAGACAGTCAAATTTATGATAATAGTGTAGACAGTCCAATACTTGGTGATGGTGTACACAAACAAATACTTGATGATGGTGTAGACAGTCAAATACTTGGTGATGGTGTAGACAGTCAAATTCATGATAATGGTGTAGACAGTCCAATACTTGGTGATGGTGTACACAAACAAATACTAAGTGAGAGTCCAATACTTGGTTATGGCGTTGAGAGTCCAATACTTCTTTTATGGTTTTGAGAGTCCAATACTTCTTTGATGGTGTTGAGAGTCGAATACTTGGTGTTGCTGTTGAGAGTAAAATATTTGGTGATGGCGTTGAGTGTCAAATACTTGGTGATGGCGTTGAGAGTCCAATGCTTAGTGACGGTGTTGAGAGTCAAGTATTTGGGAAGGGTGTTGAGAGTCCAATACTTCGTGAATGTGTTGAGAGTCCAATACTTTGTGAGGATGCTAAAAGTCAAGTACGCGTCTCTGGGTTAGCAGATCAGCATAGATGATGCAGTCCATGTTCCGAGTCAATCTTACTGACTGTATTTTTGTTCCGAAGACAAGCATCAAGAAATTAAACTTCCCGACCTGCCTCTGGTTATTTATCTAATTTCAAGGCTACATGATCCGCCCGTGTTTTATGGTGGAGTGCAGTGAAACAAAAAAAAAAGGTTTTAGCTTTTGTTTGCGAAGGGGGAATTCATTTGTTTGAATTGCAGAGTAGGGGACGTGTTGTAACACAGCTATGTGTTTATGTAAGCATTGTAACATACTTATAGGAACGTTTTAATCATTGTGATGCAACGAGTGAGTGAGTGAGTGAGTTACCACGGAAAAGCAGATGTACATCGTATGGTTTAGCTTGAACCGTCTTCCACATGACGAGGGAACCCATCAATCACTGAACAAATAACCCCTTTGTGGAACTGTAATACCGATATAATATGTGGTTTGAGATTTTAGGGTGTGAGTGAATATGCGATGCCCATGCATGTAGTACCGGCCGGAGATTTCAAGATCAAATGTCCTAGGTATAGAATAGATCTACTTAATAACACCCACACTTTAACACCACATTATGTTTATCGCCTTTGAAAATGCAAACTCAAGTTGTGAAACAGACGTGATGACATTGTTATGTGTCGCTTCTCAAATTGTAACAGTTTGTTAAGCCAGAAATCAGTACGTAAAAGAACCTGGTGAGAAACAAACAAACAAAAACAAGTGGCATGCAATCAACAAATAAATTACGAACTTAATTAAGTTTGCAAATCAATATAAATTACTGCACAGCAAATACAACGGCAGTACACAATAGAGTGGAAGTACAGTATTCAATGGCAGTATATAATATGATGGAAGAGGTCAGAATCAAATACAAGAAACCAGTGTCTGAAACTCAACAGAGTATACTGAGAGCACTGAGGGCAAGCACAGTTCACATACTGGAGGTCCATGGGGAACAAATCTGTAGGCCAAACATTTTAGCTGATGCAGGGAGACACACTCATGCATTATACATTAGAAACCACAACCAGTCAACCAGAAGCATTGACTACTATCACACCAGGTACCCAGAGAATCTGTGGTGATAGATGAAGCCTACATTTAGCAAGGAAATTATAAGCTTGTAAAACAGCGTTGCTGCTACATGCCATATCACATTTGAGAGGTCTAATCCTAGTATTTTTAAATATGAAAGTTATCTTTTCCACATTATTTAAATGATGTATTTATAACTTTATTAAGTTCGTTTTTATTAAAAAATAATATAGCTAATAAAATCATAACATCCATATTAGGCACCAAGGAAGAGAAAATTATGGCGATTTTCGGGAATGTTAAGATTTCATAAAAGCTGTCCACTAATTTATTTCTTCTTCTTTTGTCATTGTTAACGTAATCAGAAAATGTTAACAAAAATAAATTTAAGTACAATCCATCATCACATATTTACCGATAATAGTGGCTTTCTGTTCAGTGACATGAGTATACCGGGGAATACCTCCGTTTTCGAAGTTTTGTATACAAAAACACATCGTTCGATGTTTAGTATCGTTAGAAAGCTCTGAACACCAATAAGGCTACAGTAACCAGTAAACGTTTTCAGCAGGAAATTGCGACCTATGTTTACATTTGGAACCTTATGGACATATCGTGCTGGGTTACGACCTGTGACAGATTCAACTACTGAACTCAATGTGTTGTAATTTCTTGTACTATAACTACTGAACACAATGTATTGTAATGCCCTGTAATACTCCTACATCGCTTTGTTACATT